TTTCTCAGAATCTCCCTCTCTCTCTGTCCCCCCTCCCGCTGTGTTTCTCAAGCTCCCTCTGTCACTTTCTCTCGTCTTTCTTCCTCACCAGCTTTCTGACTCTCCTGACATTTTTGCTTCCTCTCTCTCGCGCCTCCTCCCCCCTCCTCCCATCTTTCGGTGCTGTTTTGCTGCATCTGTGTCAGTGTTTTTCTCTGGTTCTCACTGTTTCTCTCCATGTCTCTCTCACACTCTTTTGCTGTTTCTGGCTCCGTTTCCTTCCCTCTCTCTCTCTCTCTCTCCATCCCGGCTCTCTCTCTCTCTCTCTGTCTCTTGGACGCCTCCAGCAGCAGACGACAGGCGGCCCCATAGTGTCGAATGGAGAGACTTTAAGATCTGAAGGTCTCTTGGCCTCGCAAAGAGAGCGCGCCAACACTACAAACAAAGAGTAATGACTGCCACTTAAAACTTGAGCACTCCCTGGATTTTTTCCTTCAGACCTCCTGCAGTTCCTGTTTTAGTTTTTATGACTTCCCTCTTGTAGTTTTGTGAGCTGAGAGATCCAGCCGTGAGATTTCTGCCCCCATTTTAAAACAATAAAGCAAAAGGGAATTTCATCTGTGGTGCTCATAGAAAAACTACATTGCAACATGCCTTCCAAGAGCTACAACAATTGGTTGTGCAATGGATTGGTCAACAGACAAATTTAAGTCAGATACTATTTTGATAATCAATTAGTCATTCCAGTTTTTTTTTTTTCAAGTCAAATATTGCCTGATTCCAGCTTCTCAAATGAGAGGATCTGAAAATTTTCTTGTCCTGACAGTGAGTTAAATATATCTAAGTGGATCAAGCAATCTAAACATGTCACCTTTGTCTCTTACATACATACATACATATATAAAAGTGTAATTATAATCAGTTATAATTATAATCAGCTGATTAGTTGTTAAAGAAAGTAATCATTGCAACTAGGGATGAGCAAGTACATCATTACCTATATCTGTATCTTTTAAACCGACTAAATTATCTGTATCCACATTTGGACTTGGAAGTTTTCAACTGGAAGTGGGTGGGGCTTGAACTATAAATGGGTGGGACTTAACCAGAAATTGTTTTTTTAAGCCTGACATTAATATGGGTTGATCTGAAGTAATCAGCGTCAGGTCATTTTTGATCACAAGTGTAAGGGGCCGCACACATGCCACGTTTTTTGCGCTCTTAAATTAATTGTTTTCAATGTAGCCACGCGGCAGGCATGCTCAAACGCCAGAGCAATGCCTGAGCGCCTATTATTCAGGGCGCGATGGCTGCGCCACGAGATAAACCGAGTTCAACTTTTGGAACGCAGCAGCATGCACTGTATGTCATGTGACGACAAGTAACCAATCACAGCCGACAGATACCTTTTTCATCTTCTGTAAATATCAGTCTGTGGTAAATATGGAAAAGTTGATCATTTTGGTGCAGAGCTGTCAGAGCTTTACATCTGTCCCATGGACAATATGACCACACACTTATAAACAGCACCTGGAAGAAGATCAGCTCTGAACTCAGGATTTGAGGTGAATAGGCTATAATATGGTGACTGTTGAGGTTGCTTAGTAACCTCAGACACAACCTGCGACAGTCTTTATGAAAGCTGGCTCAAAAAAGGCACAAAAGTAGCACCCAGCATCCGACCTCACATTTTCCAGGTGGCATGACACGGCATGAACACAATGATGATTTTTCCTACATCACAAGAAAACTGATATATTTAACTTGTATGATACTTGTACTAAAAAATAAGTACATTATCTGTACTGGTTACTCATCATTACTCTTCAGTATTTGGCTCAACCCTAATTGCCTAATTGCTGACAATGTCCCTCTCAGTGAACATTTTCTATTGAAAGTGTGTCTACTTAAGAGATTATTCCTCTGGATCCTGTTGAGAGGTTCTCAGGATTATCCAAAATAATAGGGACACTACTTGTGAAAAAAATGTCAATTTTTGTTGTTGAAACTATTATTTTTAAAATGTCATTTCTCTATGTAACAAGTACCACAAACAATTCCATTCACCTTTATTTTACTGGGGTAGAGGCAGAAATCTCAGCGACAAGTTTCTCAAAATCTGAGGGAATTTAATTTATCGGATTTTTGTCATGTGGGTGAACGGACCTTTTAATTTATTTCCTTCATTTTTTCTTTGCACTTTAAACTCTGCCTTTCCAATTTCTTCTTTCCAGGTCACCCTCTGCATATCTACATTGATTATCTTTGTAAATTTCAGGTGTCTTATGCATCTCTCATCTGCCTTTTAGTTTCTGTTCTTCCCTTGTATTTTTTAATGATACCTCTTTTTGTTTCTTCTCATCTAACCTCAAACTTGTTTTTTTATCCTATTGTTTTTTTCTTGATTCTCCTCTTCCCTTTGTCTCCTTTCTGCTGGCACATCCCTTCTCTCTAATGTTCTGTATACACATACTGTTTCTCTTTAATTCTGCATTACTTCTCCGTTCCCCATCACTGTTTTCAATTTATAACACCTGTGTCGTTATTTTTTATTCCTTATGTCCTTTCTATCCATCTCCTCGCCACTTGCACTGTTGTTGTCTCCATGCACCACCTCCTCCTCCTCTCCCCTCTCCTCCGCATCACCCCACGTCCTTCATCCATTTGCTTGGTGCAAAGGGTGATGGAGAAGAGGGGAGAGGAGTGGAGGATGATGGAGGAGAAGACAGTGGTGATGTGCTGTGGTTGCGATGGATGAATATAGACCGAGGCATTAAGAAGACTGTGCTTCATTCTTAAACTGACACAATAAGCCCTGGCTGTACATAAACGCAGTTAAGAAATATTCCTCCTGACAAATACAGTTAAGAAATGTTCTCTTGACAAACATACACATTACAAATAACAGCTGCGGCAATATACTGCCACAGCAAGCACAGCTTCATCAATCTCAGAGCTATCGCGTCTTTGCTTTCCCCTGTCAGCAGACCTCGTTTATGCAGACATTTGTTGTATCTCCCGACTTCACAACTGTTACACTCACACACACAAAACGGAAACAAGCAGATGTTAAAAAAAGTTTTGATCGAATTTTAAAGGCACATTTGGAAACATTTCTGCTATGTAAGAAGTCAATGGATAATATGTCACACGCGTCATTTAAACCTCACAAAAAGACCGTGTCCTTTTCATTTGTCTGGCGTCATGACAAGTCTGACGTAACCACAAAATCAAGGCAAAACATGACATTTGAACCTTTACTTCCTCCACTTTCATATTGTTTCATTTCCTCCTGTCTTCCCTCAGGAGGTAATATACTCACAAAAAATACAGAAGTTGTCGCTGTGAATATTGGCTTTTCTTAAACTTTTAAGTCGTGGCAGAACTTATGAAAACAAATGAAACAATCCATTCAGTGGGTGTTATAAATTGGGCCTGTGGGTAGGATCAAGTGTAGTGCAGCTCGGGACACTGAACAACAGAAGTTAAAGCCACTTTAAATTAAATTGTGCTTTACCAGCACATGTCGAAGGCAGTTGTAGTCTTAATGATCTGTGTTAATTAGTGTTCTAATTGGTGTATTCCAGATCTCACAGGTGCTAAATTGTGTCTTATAGACCTCCTCTGTTTTAAACCTTTTGTTCCAAGAGCCTTGGTTTCCTGTCATTTTGTAAAGACCTGATGTCCTACTATATGTCCCTGATGTTTTTACTGTCCTTTAACACCCTTGTTCTGAATATTCCCTTTAACCCTTTCAAACCTGGAGTGACATCACTTTTCTTGTGCTGCTTTCAGATGTCTTTCACAAGTATTTAAACCTTTGAACCCTGAGCAAAGTGATCCAATTTATTTCAAAAACTTTATTTATTTATTTATTTATTTCATAATTATAATTATTAAAATTGTATTACAGAATTATTCTAATTTTTAAGCACTCTTTCCAGGATATTTTTGTTTGTTTGTTTTAACTTCCTGTCTCTCTTTTTTCCTTTATTTTCTTTTACTTTTAGGGGCTGTCCACACCAACACAGGTGTTTATAAAACCGTGACTCTTTGCTCACAGTGTGGCCTTTCATCCACACGTAACCGCAGTTTTGGGCCCCTGTAACCGGAGTTATTTGTAGCTGGAGTCCAGGGTGAACTTTTTGGAAAAGTCTGGTGTCAGCAGTCATGTGTGGACAGGATAACCGCAGTTATTTTGTCTCGTCTCCATTGTATGACGTCACAGTGTGCGACGTAAACAGAAAACAGCTGTGTTATTACCCGATCCAGTGTGTGCGAGAGACGATTTGAGGATGGACCTAAACAAAATACTGCTGCTATTTAGCAGCATATCAGCACTTTGTGGCTGTATCATACAACTAACGCTACTCAATCACATCCAGCAACAGAGGCGCAAGAGTGTGCTATTACGGAGACTGCTCCTGCTGCATAATAGTACGCTTGTTGTTGTTTTTCCGGTAATGACGTTTTACTGCCTTCTGATTGGCTACAATGGCCTTACAGTTAGGAGTTATATCGCCACCTACTGCTTTGGCATGTGTATTACATTGCTTGATAGTGGAATTTGCGGTGTCATGTGAATGGAGGTATTTTTATTACACCGCTCTTATGAACACAGATTTTTTAAAAACTGGAGGCCAAAAAAGTTCGGTTTTAAAAATACCCGTGCTCGTGTGGACTAGGCCTTAAAGAAATTATTATGTATATATATATATATATATATATATAAAAAAGCTAAAGAAAAACTATATTTATAATTATTAATATAATTACATTTAAAATTATGTTATTATGTTTCTTTTTTTTCTCTCTTTTTAATAATTTCTTGCTAATTTTTTGGATAATTTCTTCTTCCGTTGCTCATTGCCTTCTTGCCATTGTTTTCAATGGAAATCAAGCTAATTTGCTCCTGTTCCAAAGGGTTAAGAAAAGTTAATATCATTTTCCTTCTGGCCTAATACAGTATTTTTTAATGCTCTTCTTCAAAACCTTTGTGTTCTCACTCTCTTGTTTTCTAGAACCCTGATGATGTTGTTCTGAGTGGAAGTTGTGGAGAACGTCACCACCAGGGGGAAGCTGGTGAAAACTGAAGAAAAACAAGGCCCTATAGCTCCTCTCCCGTATCTCCTGTTTACTGTACCCATTACTTTGTTTCCATGAGTATCATGGGGTAATAGACCTGTACTGTCTGGTTTACTTTTAACTGCTAATCTTGGTTCTCATGTCTGGATTGGATGACCATGTCAAAGGCCCGGTGTTGGTTTGGCTGTTGATTGGCCAGTGGCTGAGGGATCCAGCTGTTTGTGTGATCATCTTAATGGAACGACATCCTGAATGCTGATTTTTTTCCACTTCTGTATCAGTGTGGCAGTGGATATGATGGGCATAGATGATTTAAAAAGGATGCATACAGAGACATGTGGATGTGTCTCATAAAAATGGACTGAAAATATGAATGAACTTCTCACAATCTGGAGCAGCATCAACATGCACGAACAGATACGAAGAAAATGATGGCTGAACAGCAAAGTTAGATGCATAGATCATCACACTCAACTTGGATATACAATATGTTAGACTGCACAAATGGAAAGGGAATAATCTCACACAGAAAAATGTCTGGATGGGTCTGGTTTTGGATACGAACATACTGTATGTTAAACACTCCAACGATAGGATCACTGTTACTGCGACTGACCATAAGGGACTCTCGACGTGGCTGGCTCCAAGTGGCTCGGCCCTATTAATCCATGTGGAATAATGCAATTCTACTAAACTGAACTGAGCTGATCCAAGCTGGGCTGAACTGGAGCCAGATCTTAACCTTGACGGGACCCTGTTATCCTCAATCAGAAGTCTCTTTCTGGAAAGCACATACAGTATATAACGAAAAACCTGAACTGAACTGGACCCAAACCAGGACCCAGTGGAGCCTGAACTGGAATCTTGCACTGGTAAAGGATTCACACTGTGCAGTGATGTGATGCAGACTAAACTGGACTGGCCTGTTATCTATTGGTCTAGTCTGTGTATTCTTCTGCTCTGCTCTGATATCTACTATCTTTCCACTGGATGAGACTGGTGAGGACCTTGTGGACCTTTACCAGCTTCTCTCACATCTCCCCAGGCCCACTTAATACAGGTGAGTAATCTGCTGATTAGCCCCTTAACCTAACCAAACACGCAGCCAAATGTGGAGTTCTCTCACCCAAAGACCCGGCCTCATTAATTAGTGTGACATATGGTGACCCACCAGCAGTCACCTTGGCTTTGCACCAATTTTGGGTTCTGCCCTATAGTTTAAGACACACTTTACACTCTGCAGCATCTCTCCAGCCGCGAGTGCTCTGTAACCTAATGAGGGCAACGCTTTAACGAGTGCCTTCTAATTGCTGTCAGCTAGACAATTAGAGAGACACCCTGGCTTAACGATCTGCTTCGTTACTACTCTCCACTGACAATATCACAACAGGCGACAGGAAATGCATCCCCCCCCACCCCTGTTTGTTTCTCACCCCTTTAGTGTCTGAGTCACTCCTTATCTCATGCTTCTCTCTTCCCCTCTCAATCAGATGTCTCTTGTTTTGCCTCCTGCCTGCCCGAGGCAGTGATCGAATGCCGGTGGAGAATATAATATGCTGGGAGGAAATGGTTATGAGCTAACACCACTGCCTCGGGGATGGACTTTGCCTCTACAAGGGGGGTCAGCAATATCGCTTTAGTCACGGACAGAAGGCTGATGTCTGATGCTGCAGAACTGAACTCATCCAGTCCCCAGGCTGCAGAGATTTGCTCTGCCAAAATAATTTACACATTTCTTAGAGGTAATCAATAGCATATTATGTTAAGTAGTCGCATTTCACACATCTGTCTTCCCACTGAATGGAAAACTGCTGGAGTTATAAACATATTTAATCTCCGGGAAAAGTAGTACATATGCCATTATACCTGAAGGTGGGTGTAGACGAAAAAAAAAAAACACACTAGTTGTTGAATAGTGCCTTTTACACTTTTGAAGTCATGCCTTGCTATGTTAGGTTCCTGGCAAACAAATGTTGTTTAAGGTAGTATTGTAGTGCTACAATTAGTGGTACAATTATAACATAGACACATAAGCCCCGTTTCCACCAAGCAGTACGGTATTGTGACTCTAAATTGACCGTAGGTGTGAATGTGAGCATGAATGGTTGTCTGCCTCTATGTCAGCCCTGCGATAGTCTGGCGACCTGTCCAGGGTGTACCCTGCCTCTCACCCCATGTCAACTGGGATAGGCTCCAGCCCCTACGCAACACCTAACAGGATAAGTGGTTTCGGAAATGAATGTGAGAAAGTACGGTATAGTTCAGTTCGGAACGTTTTTTTTTCCTGTTTCCACTGTGAGAAGTTGTGGATGGTACCAATGGAACCGTTTCTTACCGTACCCATTTTTGGTCCCCCCTCTGTTGGGGTACCTAGCACACAGATCTGGTACCAAAAGGTGGAGCTGTGAACACTGCAGTGATTGGTCAATAGCGGACGTCACTCTGCTCAGGGCTGAGTTGTGGCTGGTTTTGAGGCTCATGTAACCACTGTTTGTATTGTGGAGAATTTTACATATATTAGTAAAGTGAAACTATAAAAATAAAGGATGTTTTGCTGCCTCTTGCAGCAGCTCTAGTTTGAGAAAAATAAATTACTAGGCCGACCGCCGGCAACTTTTAAGGTGGCACGTTCAGTTGACGACATGAATCCATCAGCACACCTTAAATTACAATGGGACAACTTCAACCATTGTTGTTATTGTCTCTCTTGGATGACATATTTTAGTAATGAGTGGATCTTCAAGTGTTGAAAAATATATATTAATTTCTACCGGATTATGTGAACTGCATATATTCTAATCCTCACTCAGAGAGTTGCAGACTGATAAAGAAGGAAATACAGTGAGTGCTGGATGGAGCAACAACCCTGCCCACATTAAAGAGTACTGTTTGCGGTGGCAACACTCAGCGGACCTAGGGTGTCTAATGGGTTACTTATGGTTCCAAAGGTACCACACCGAAAGTGTTTGGTGGAAATGGGGCTTTACAGTATAGCAATAAAAGTGATGAATGAAGAAGAATCTTCATTTGATTTATTTGGGTGTTTCTATGGGAATGTGGATCTTTCAGCTCAGTTTAAAGAATGCCAATAGCTGCTGTGCCAAATGCTCCACATTTTCTTGGAACTGAATGATGCAGTGTGGGACTCACAATGGTCTGGTCTTGGTCTCGTCTCGGTCCTGATACACTCTAGTCTTGGTCATGACTTGCTCTTGGTTTAGGTGGGCTTGACACTGGTTTAAAGTGATTTTAACTGGACTTCAGTCGAAACATTGCTCCAATGATTGCGAATCAAAAATTCACGACTCTATAAACAGCATTGTATCAATGCAGATGCATTTCAGGTATTGGATCTACCTTATTTCTGAAAGCACATGTAATAAGCTTTTTTAACTACACATATTGTAATCACCATTGAATATAATTACCATAAATCACACTTATCATGTATGGATATGATTACCTTAATTGTCAACACAATCATTTACTTTAACAGCAGTTCTGTTTATCTGATTCATTGTTTGTGCGGTGGTGTTGAATAACTGAGTCCATATAATTGGGGGGTTTTTTATTCGCATTATTACTGTACTTGACAGCTTCAAGTAAATTTCAGTTTGGCTAAAGATAATTTATTCACCCATGAATACACACCCACATCATCAGACTGTAAGTGGTTGTTTTGAATGAGAAAGTACTGAAAGGGAGAAAATGTTTCCCAAGCAAATATAACCCCCAACCATCCAAACTAAGAAACAAGAGTCCATTCATAACGTACGGTTTTATCTTTCTTTTTCTTTGTTTGGCAATTTCAGTTTGATATCTGTCATCAGCGGACTCGCGCACAAGATTTTACTATGCTAATATAAATCATGTAATATTCAAAAGGACAGGCAAAATACTGAGATAACAGTCATTTCTGGTGTTTCTGTGTTTTGATTAGACAGCCAACCAAAGACGTTATTTTCTCCTCAAAGTGATGATTACATGATGTTGCACAGACCACCAGTACTGACAACTGTCTCCAGTTTTAATTTACATTTCAATGAATACGGGACACAAACACTTTAACTGTTCTCTCAGTAACAATAGCAGTGAATCACTCAGTCAGTCAGTCGTTCTGGTCCTGGTACACAGACACAAGTGCCAGAGTGGCTATCAAGGGCACTTCTATCATAGTTATCTCTTTGTATACACCTATGACTGTAACCTTGTGTGTGTGTGTGTGTGTGTGTGTGTGTGTGTGTGTCCTCTCAGCCCAGCATGAACAGTATGAGTATGATTGCAGATGTCAGACACCAGACGCTGTTTACACAAACATTTCCTCTCTCGGTGGTTGCTGGTGATTGTTTGAGCCATCTTGTGCATTTCTTACAGGCACACACACACACACACACCAGAGAGAGACAACGTAAGACAGATACACAGACTAAAAGCATGTTATAAAAATAGATCCCATATGAAAACAAAAATAGCTCCATAAAGCGCACGTCATAAAGTGTCCTCAGTTGGGTTTCAAAGTTAAGGAGAATACCATCCTGTCGTCTTTCTTTATCCTCAGATGATTCTCTGGGTGCAGTTGTTGTTGTTTTCGTTCAAATAAACAAGTTTGCACGGATCATATGCTGCATTTTTAATTTTTCGCCTGAGTGACAAGCTTATTGGTTGGTGGGGAGGTAAAGTGATGGAATAAATAGATTTTAGCCTGTAGTGATTTACAGTATCTAATTCATCATCACAAAATAATGATGTATTTTGTTACACTGGAGGGATGAGATGGCAATGAGAGCACAGGTAGAAAGGACATTTGATTTTTGTTTTTTATCTCCTTTGTCACAATCAATATGGTTGTCGCGCCAAGGAAAAATGTATTCACTTCATTCCAACTTTTTTAGAAAGTTTTACATGTTAAACCCATCTGGCACTGTGAGACCTGTCCTTGGCATCCTGTTAGCTCGGTGTCTCGTGTGCTAAAACAATGATTATTAGCATATCATTATCAAACACATTTTGGCAGATTTTGCAGTGGCCTCTTCGGACTGCATGGTATTTTGTCCTTCGTTCCTCTAGAGGGTAAACTGTGACTTAGGGTTAGGGTTAGGGTTAACTTCTGTGACACTAGCTTACACAAGCATGTCGCTCCAATACTGCATGATTACCTCTGCCAAGAAGTTTATGTTTTTGGTTCAACTTTGTCTGTTGGCCAACAGGATTATGGGAAAAACCACTGCCTCACTATTTAAAGGAAATGGCCACTTTAGAATGAAAATACAGACAGTACTTACTGACCCTCATGCCGACAAGAAGTCCAGTGTAGTTTTTTTTTAATCCACAAAACTCGTTTGGGGTATTGGAGGATAACAGCTAGCTGGAATAACAGCTACACTTGGAACCCACATTTTGAAAATGTAATAAAACTCTGCTAATGCATTTCAAAAACGTCAGTTTACATGGCAACTCGCGCGAGACTCGTAAACTAGCACCACCACTAGCCATCAGCTAGTCTCGCGCAAGTTGCCATGTTAACACAGCATGACTGTAGGGCAGACTAACTGACCACAGTGAGAAATTATGCTATAAAAGAGGAGTAAATTTCGTCTTTTAAAGTCAATTTTGCATGTCACGGCTTCAGGGCACTTGGATTACGACGGACATTTTTGAAATGCATTAGCGGAGTTTTATTACATTTTCACAATTAAAAACACTATAAGGTAATTTCTAGGGCTGCCCCTGACTAAAAAAATAGTCAACCAATAGCTGTCATTTAGGGCCATTAGTCAACTAGTCACCGGCATGTTTTGTGACATTAATGTCATTATCATGTAACTTATTTTCGGGGAGCAACACAATGGTTTGAGTTGAAGGTGTGAGAAAGAATAGTATCAGTAACATTATTAACACTGTGCTACATTACAGAGAAATACAAAACCGTACTAATGAACCTTCATTAATATAGGCCTATATTTTATCTACAAGTGCACGTAACACACTGAGCGAGCCGCCTGTTAATGACGCTGTGGGCAAAGCAGTAATGATTGTGCTAAGTGGCTAATGGGCATGTAG